CGAAATGATGATGGCATTCCTCAGCAGTCCCTGTATCTCTTGGGGGCATCCCACTCCTACTTCTATTACAGTTATTCATGGTGGTGATGGGGATTAATATGGTGTCCAGTGGAGTGTCTGATCAGGATCTGCACTGCTTTCTCTGCAAAGAGGACCTAGACTATGGTCTTTATTGAAGCCTGACAGCAAACTATTAATTAAGCATTCTAACTCCTGTTTTACAAATAAAAAAAAAAGTGAAGGCCACTAACCTGAAGCAACTTGTCCAAGGTCTTGTCACTGAGGTCTGTCTGACTCTAAGACCAGCACTGTCTCTGTGTTCAGGGCCTCACCTGGGAGCACATGTTGGCTGTTTCCCTTACCATTCTCTAATGGTGCTTAAATAGCTAATGTGCATTTTGATGCTGTTTTTCAGTTATTTTTTGAGTTAAAAGTAGAAAAGCCTTTGAGAACCTAGCTTTTTAAAAAAATCCTAAACATTTTATATATTTCAGAACAAAATAATATTTTTAAATGGGTCGGTAGAGCACAAAGCATCAAAGAGCTCATGGGTACAGCCTGTAACTTCCTGGAGCTCTGTATTCTTGTCAGATCTTAACAAATACTTCTCTAGATAATTGCTTAATTATTATATCTGTCAAGAAAAAAGCCTTCACAGCCATCAAGTACTGCATATAAAAATACCCTTTAATCCCAGACGTGGAAAAACCATTCCCTGTGATTTCAGTAAAGCAGAATCCCCATGGTACCTAATCATTCTCAGATTCCTAAGGACAAGAGTAGATGGAGAACAAGAGCCCATGGGGAGAAGCAAGGGGAAAGATTGTTCTCACCTTTGTGTCCCTTTCATTGAAGGCCCCCCAAATATTTTAAGTTTTTGCAAAATGGAAACAGAGAAGGAATACAGTCCAAATCGTGCCAATTTAATAAAATAATGTGGTGCTGTAGAAATGAGTCCAAAAGATCTGGACTTTCAACTCAGCATTGCTGCTCTTTCTGAAATGTACTAGGGGAGATAAAATGTGGTTTTGTGTTACATGGAAATGTCAGGATCTACCCCATGATTGTTGAGAGAATTCAATGAAATAATGTATTCAAAGTCCCTAAAGCTGTGCTGAGCGTTTACTAGGGGTTCCAACAGTTATATTGCTGATCCTCATTATTTGCAGATTCCATTTTTGCAAATTCACCTTCTTGCTAAAATGTATTTGTGACTCTAAAATAGTGTTCATGGTGCTTTTGTGGTCACTCACAGACATGGGGTAAGTGGTAAAAATATAAGTCGCCCAGCAGGCGAATTCCCAGCTGAAGTGGGACAAGGTGACACTCTGTCTTCTTGCTTTAGCTCTTACACCATAAACAAGCTCTCAGGCTATTTCATGCCTCATTTTAAAAATGTTTGTGCTTTTTCTGTTTAGCAAAGCACAGTGCTGATGTGCTGTCTAGTGTTGTAAGCCCAAGAAAGCTGTATGTGCCCTAAGGAGAAAAACTTCATTCAGTCATGAGTCATCCTGCTGTTGGCCAGGAGTCTTGTTCTGTTCAGGCCCTCAATGAATTGGATGATGCCCACCCACATTGGTGAGGGAGAGCTATATTCAGTCTACAGATTCAAATGCTAACCTCTTTCAGAAACAACCTCACAGATACACTCAGAAATGATGTTCTGCCAACTATCTGGGAATCCCTCAGCCCAGTCAAATTGACACATAAAATTAACCATCACACTCAAGTGTTTATTTATTACATCCCTCCTCAAGTTCCAAATGATGATGGCATTCCTCAGCAGTCCCTACATCTCTTCAGGGCGTTTATCCCACTCCTACTTCTATTACAGTTATTCATAGTGGTGATGGGGATTAATATGGTGTCCAGTAGAGTGCTTGATCCCAGCCATCAAGTACAGTATTTTATGATTTTATACAGAGAGCATAACTATGGTGACCAATAAGAACTGACTATATTCACCGGTAGCAAAGGCATACACCTATAATCCCAGAGGCTCGGGAAGGAAGGAGGATCACAAGTTCAAAGCCAGCCTCAGCAAAAGCAAGGCACTAAGCAACTCAGTGAGACCCTGTCTCTAAATAAAATACAAAATAGGGCTGGGGATGTGGCTCAGTGTTTGAATGCCCCTGAGTTCAATCTCCACTACCAAAAAAAAAAAAAAAAAAAAAGAAAAGAAAAAAGAAAAATTGACTGTATTCTATATAGTTCCTATGTTAGAAAGGTTAAATATTATTGGCTAACAAAGTAACACAACAACTCCATGACTTAAAACGATAGAAGTTTAATTTTTCACGTCTGTAATGTCTCATCAGGTGTTTGAAAGGAAATCTTACAAAGGTGAGCCAGAAACCATACTAAAGCAATTTGGATGCAGGCTCACAATAATTGAAACAAGGATAAATTATCAGCTATTTGTATTTGACATTTTCTTTCACAGAGGCATCCTTTCATCTTATGGCTCTGCTAACACATTGGACCTTTGCTTATGGAGAAAGGAGTCCTGGGTAGAAGACCTTAAGAGCCAGCCCCTCTCATGTGTCTTAGTTAAAAGATGAAGTCCTTACATAATGAGACCTTTCTTTATTCCTTTTTTTCTATTAATACTTCAGCCAAACCTTTAATCTCTGACTGAAAATATTTTTGCCACCGAACAAAAGATTATGTAAAGAATATACCCAATGCCTCTGTGAAAGAAAATGTCAAATACAAATAGCTGATAATTTATACTTGTTTCAATTAAATTGTAAGCCTGCATCCAAGTTGCTTTAGTGGCTATAAAACAGTAGCTTTATCTGACTTATTATTATATTTATCAGGTTTTGAAAAAAACAACATTGAGACTCCTTGAAAAAAGCATGCACTATCTCTGATATCTCTGCTTCGATTTACTATGGCCTTATGCTGTGGCCTTATGCAGTCCTTCTATTCTCATTTTAATATTGAGGAAAGAGGAAGTAACAATGTTTATTAGTACCTCCCACCCCAGCCTTTAGAGAGAATATTATACAAGAAAAGTGTAGTCTTGTTAAAGGATCACCTCTTTGGAGTTCTTAGGAAATTCCATGCATCTCTTTAGAATTATAAGGAAAATCATCATGAATTTTTTTCCCAAAAGTTGCATTTACCTGTATATTTTCTTCCATTTGTAACTTTTATATAATTTTAGGGGATTTTTAAATCCTGCTGAACAGAGGCTGATACTATATGATCAAGCATTACCATGTGTAGGTATATACCTAAAAGAATCAAAAGCAAGGTCCTAAGGAGATGTTTGTACACCAAGGCCCACAGCAGCATTTTTCACAACTTTTTAGAGCAATTCAGGTGCCCAGCAACAGATGAACGGTTAAACAAAATATGGTATTGACATGGAATAATCAGGAATGAGTTCTGATATATGCTACAACATGAATGAACATAGAAAACATTAATGCTAAATGAAATAAGCCAGACTCAGGCAAATATTGTATGGTCCCACATAAGTGAAGTACTTACAAGAGGAAAATTCATGATACAGAAAGTAGAACAGAGTGGCTGGTGGGGAGATCAATGAGGAGTTATTGTTTAATGGGTAGAGTTTTTCTTTGGGATGGTGAAAAATATTTGGGAAGGGATAAGGTCATTGTCGAAAAGTCTTGTTAATGTACTTAACACCACTGAATGGTTTACTTAAAAATAGTTAAAACAATACATTTCATATTATTTTTATTCTGCCACAATAAATAAAAATCACATTGAAAGGAGACTGGACTTTGGACCTTTAAGCCTGAGTTCCAGTCCAAGGTCAACCAGGGGGTATGACTTTGAGCAAAGAACTTCATGTCTCTGAGTGGCATATTGCTTACCTATAAAAATGAGAATGTAACTACTGGCCTTAGAGGATTGTCCTAGAAATTAATGTGATTGACCTGTCACATAATAGGCACTGTGTAAAAAGATAAAGAGAACTAATGTATTAAGTAAGCAAAATCCAGTAGACTATGTGAAGGTTAAAAGGGTCATAATTGTGGGGATTCTTTAATATAGGTTTTTAGTCCTTACAGTGTGACTTGATATGGGTTTTAAGATAGTCATCTGCATCCAGACACACGTGTGCTCTTCAGACAAGTACATTTATCTGGAGATTAGATATCAACTATTTGAAATAGATATCAACTATTTGAAATATCTGAAATAGAACCTTATTTGCAGAATCATGCCTAAAAGCCCTAGGTGTGCAAATGCCAGATTAAAGTCTATGTAGAGGAGAAGTGCATGCCCACACCCAGAGGTTGTGCAGAAACTATGATATGGGGACAGCAAGGAAAGTCAGAGCTGACAGGAGAGAAAGAGGCAGGAGAATGACTAAGGCCCCTGGAAGCTTTGCTTGAGGCTTGCGTCATGAATAATGTTAAGCCTGTGACATTCAGAAACGGTCAAATTTCCTTCTGTTCGCTCTGCTTAGGAAGGTGGGAGTCTATGCAGTATGCATTGAAAAGGATAAAACTGCAGGCTCAATGTTAATGATGTGGATTTCAGTTATCTGGAAAAATCCTTATAGAAGGAAATGTGGCTGTTTCTCTATATACTCGATTTTTCTTTTTTTTAGAGAAAGAATTTTTTTATATTTATTTTTTAGTTTTCGGTGGACACAACATCTTTATTTTTGTGTGGTGCTGAGGATAGAACCCAGCACCCCGCGCATGCCAGGCGAGCGCGCTACCGCTTGAGCCACATCCCCAGCCCAATATAGACTCCGATTTTTATTGAGACAAAAATAGCTGAATTCTATCAGCTTTATCACCTAATTATCTCTAGAATCTGGTCAGTTCCCAGCATTTAGCCTGAGGCCAGCCTTGCACTGGGCTCTGCGAATGAATGAATGAATTCAATGAATTAATGAACAAGCCAAAGAAGGAAACCGTGTACAACATGCATGTGTCTGTAACACATGAACTGCCTGCATATAAAGAAAGACATCCATGTTTAAAACTACCCTTCTTTTTCTTTTCCAGAGCAGAAACCCCTCTCTTGGGACCGTTCATAAACAAGAGACACCAACCAACACTGCCATGCCAGTGCCGCCGCCGCCCCCACCTCCTCTGCCTCCACCTCCCCCGCCTCTAGGAGCTCCTCCCCCACCTCTGGGAGCTCCTCCCCCTCCCCCACCATCAGCACCTCTGGTAAGACCTGTTTTATTTTCTGTCTGGTTTGCTTTGGAGCATCGGGTGCTTGGATTACACTATAGGGAAAGGTTCTCAATGTTCAGAAGCAACCACTACCTAGCTCCGCTGTGGCAGGTGGACCTCAGGCAGCTCTGACAGCTTCAGGATCTGATTCCAAACCAGCCTGGGTCAGGTATCTGTCTCTTCTATTCCTCAGCAGCACCCACCTGCACTGTTCGCACCACGTCCCTTTGACTCCTTGAGTTTCCCTACGTGTCTTTCCACCTCACTCGGAGCCTCATGTGCCAGGCCCTGCCAAAGCGCACAGCTGAGGAGGCACTGCAAAATCAAGTTCCGGTGGTAAATGGGAAGGTGATAGATAAAGACACCTTGGACTTCAGTCCCTGGTTCTACGTTCAAGCAAGTCAAGTGTCATGTGAAATGCCACAATGAAAAATATAAATCACTAAAAACTTCCCTGTCTGCACAAGACTGAATTCTTTCTGTTTCAGTTTGTGCTACTGGACACTCTCCTGGTTTCATAGTTTGGTTTGGGTTAAGTAGGGGCCACAGAGGGTGGTCATTTTGTTTTAGAACATGGATTCTCAAATCTCGTCACCACTGATATTTGGGACCAGATAATTCTTGTTGGAGGAGCGAGCTGCCCTGTTCATTTTAGGATACTTAATCACAACCCTAGCCTCTGCCTACCAGGTGCCAGTAGAATCCCTCAAACATTGCAGTAAAAAATGTCCCTGGGTATTGTGAAATGTCCCCGGATGGGGGACAAAATATATGGAAAGAATAGGAATAAGTATTAAAGTTTCCCTGATGAATTCAACCCCACACGGTAGAATTCAGTCATCATGAAGTGTTGAGCAATTTATAAGTGAATGAAACATAACCAAATTATCATATGGATCCTAAACAGATTGCTCCCACTGAGGAACAGCTTATAATAATTTTAAATATGATGATACAGGATGAATCACCAGAACAAATGAACTTACCAAAACCCATGTTTTTGGAGATTTGGGGAATGACCTATTTTTAAACCTTGCTGGTGACCCACAGCTATCTGGGCTCAATACATGTAGAACAAGCCTTTCTGGAATTCTCTAGTAGATAAAGCAAACCTGAATGAATTTCCCCTTTAATTTTAATTTAAAGACTAATTTAAGTATTTAACCCTAAAAAAACCAAAAGGAATTTATACACGGATATGGACAACAAAACTCTTTATTCTAGTGAAAAGAAATAGATCTTAAGTGGTTTATGATACCTTAAATGTATTATGTTATGCTGTTAATTTAAAACTTTATTAAGCTCTGGTGTTAATTAAAAATTACATCTATGCTGATTATGAAAAGGTAGAGAAAAATGGTGAATTAACAACATAATTTTGCATATAATGAAATCAGCTATAAATATCAAAGATTAGAAGAAATTCAATAATACTGGTAATAAATTTTAATATTTCATTAGGGAATTTGTTTCCTTTAAAGATGCTAAAATTCAAAATAAATAATCATAATTCTGTATTTGGTTAGTGTTTTGCATTCCCTCCCTCATTTCTTTTTTTCAACCCTCCCCCCTTTTGGGCCATCTATCTTACAGAAGAACAGGTCAATTTGAGAGGAAACTAACCACGTACATTTTAATATTCTTTGAAACATTTTTCTGCAAACTTGGAAAAATATTTACAGTATATATTAAAGACAAAAATTAATGTCCTTAGTATATAAAGAGCTCTTACAGATCAGTATAAAAAAGGGTAAATAGAGAAATGGGTATGGAATAGGATGGAGCAGAGGAAATACAAATATTTTGACCTCCACTACAGTTGAATCAATGTAAATTAAACCTATAGGTTGAGCTTGCCTAATCCAAAAACCTAGTATCTAAAATGCTCCATCTTGAGCATCATGCCCTTTTTGAACGTTAACATGATGCTCACAATGTTTTGGGTTTTGTAGCATTTCAGATTTAGGATTTTTGATTAGGGATGCTCAATCAGTATAGTCTATGTAAGTATTTCAAAATCTGAATGCATCAGAAATCTGAAACCCTCTGGTCCCAGCATGTCAGGTAAGGGATGTTCATCTTGTAATGAGAAACCATTTTCCTCCATCAATTTGATAATGGCACATCTTAAATGTTGGCTGGAGTGTTAGGAACCAGGTTCTTATAATACTTAGTTAGGAGCAAAAAAAAAAGTGTTATAATTCCCTAAGACACAATTTGTCAATAAAGACCAAACCCTTCAGAAAATGAATATACTCTATGACCTAGTTTTACCTCAAGCAATGTTTCTTTAACTATTCATCACAGATTAATAGAAATACAGGATATCAATGAAAGTATTACTTATAGTAGTAACCAAAAAAAAAAAGAAAAGAACTAAAATTCTAATTTTCAATTTAATAAATAAATAATTCACAAAATGGTATGTATGCGGCAGCCATTAAAGTTACATTCAAATTATTTTGCAATTTCCACTGTATAATTTATTCAACAACAGCCATCCATGAAAGCTGAAATCACTTCATGAAAGGTTGTTTGGGTTCTCAGGATGTTCTCAGGACCCCAATTCCTGTTCTCAGGAATTTTGACAATAAATGTCAACCACAGATGACAGTGTGTGTGCTGTGTGTGTGCGCTGTATTGAGGATCCAACTCAGTGGCCTTTTGGATGGTAGGCAAGTACTCTACCACTGAGCTATACTCCAGCTCTTTTTGGGGGAAGAGGGGGTACAGACTACTTTTAATTACAAAGGGGAAAATTTCCCCTTAAAATGGATCAAACTTAGTATCAGCTATAATGGAATTACTGACAGCACAAGCCACTGTGATACATTGAGAACTACACAGCATCACCCTGTAGTAATCTGCTGAAAATGAATGTACTCATGAGCAAACATTCAGACACATCCAGAATATGGGACATAGAGTCTGGCAAGCTGGAGCCCATGGCCCAAATCTATACACATCACCCATTTTCTTACAGCCCTTGAGCTAAGAATGGCTTTTACATTTCCAAATATCTGGAAAAAAATCAAAAGTAAAGTTTCATGGCCCATGAAAATTATGTGGAATCTTAACCCTTAAATAGAGTTAATTGGAGCACAGCCTTCATTTACATATTGTCTGTGGCTGTTTTTATGCTACAGAGGCAGAAACACCAATTAAGGAAAATGTGATTTCCCCACCAAACAGAATTCCATTCTTCTAATGAGTAGACATTTATTTTAAATACTGACTCAATTATTATTAACATATTTTGAATTTTGACAATAAATATTTTGTGGAAATTTGTTGTCTCTTTTGTTATATAAGTACATACATGTTATCCTTGATTTTGCCTCTTGGCTCACAGTGCCTAAAATATTTACTGTCTGGTCCTCTCCAGAAAAGATTTGCCAACACCTGTCCCACAGCCAGCTGGCCTGGCTCAGCCTTCCACTCGTCACCAGCATCCAATGGTCGTGGTACACTTGCATCAGCTCTTAGCCTCTATGCTTCATGTCTCAGCATCCCCTCTCAACTGTGGCCCACCCCACCTTGCCTGATCTGGCCCCTGCCTGCCTCTCCTACTGAGCCCCTCTCCTGGGGTCTCCACCTTAGATCTCTGGCATGGCTGTCCTTTCCACTCGGAAGACCCTTTCTGCTACTCTCAGCTCAGATGTCACTTCTTCCTATGCCACACTGGCTTTAGACATATTTTTTAAACTCTCCTTCAGGTCTGTGATCCATCTTTAACTCTGGTTTGTGTTTGATGTTTTGTCATTTTTTTGTGTGTGTCCCTTGTACCTGGCTTGAAATAAGCAAGAATGAGTGAGTAGGTGAGTGGACGAATGAATGAGTATCTGTGTGAATAGGTTTTGGAAATGGAGTTGAAGTTTTTCATAACCAGTGCTCAGAACTCCAAACATCAATGCTGTTGAAGAAACAATTACTCAGTGATACTTGTTAAAGGGCTGGAAAGAAGACTGTGTTCAGACCACAGTGACAGGCACCACTGCAGTGGGAGTTTCCCGTGGGGGAGAGAGATTGGGCTCAACTGAATACAGCGTGAGCAAGTAGGAATTTGTAGCCAAGGGATATGTGGTCAAGGAAACATCAGGATTCTTGCTGAGGACAGGCCGGGTTGATCAGACCCCAGCTAGGGGAAGGTAGAGACAACCAAATAGAGAGCGTTATCTAAACTAACTTAGCCAAGTTCTTTGCCAAAACTGGATTTTGCAAGGAAGTACATAAATGAACCTAGGAGAAGGTGCGGAAGCTGACTACAGCTAGGTCAAGTGGAAAATCCTTGTCAATGCAGAGATTCCCCCCCATCTCTTTGCTCCCCACTTCCCTGTCTTCATCCCCCCATTTCTGATGCATATCTTCTCTTTTTCCAAGAATGTGGGAGCAGAGGAGGGAGAAGGGCCAGGGGCCTGCTGGAGCTCTGGAGTGAGCCCTCTCTAGACCCAGACGGCTCTGCCATCCTGTTTTCCTGCAGCTGATTTCTCTGTCTTTCCAGCAAGACTCCTTTGTCTCAGCCTTTTAAAATCCAGTAACAATATCAAAATTGCCCTCAGGGTGCTTTGGTCCTCTTATACTTAAATTATTGTTGCTTTGTCTACCTAAATTATTGTTGCTTTTAACATATCTAAAAAAATATATGATGGGTTTGATTTTTAAAATGCAGTAGAATTGTACTGAACTTTTGCTTTCAAATGTTCTTTGACCCCTCCTGTTCAAGTGTCCTTGGACCTAGCATGTAAGCTGGGTGAATCAGCTCCTTGAGGGCCTGTGAGGTTTTTTCTTGCTACAATCCCCTTTGACACGTGGTACATTCTGTCCAAGAGGAAGCAAATGTAGTCACTCACCAGCTGATACATTTTGGAGTTGGGTAGCCCAGGCAGAGTCTGACAGGTTTCTGACCACAACACATGTATTTATTTATAAAATAGATTTGTGGATTTTTGTGGCATTATTTTTTTTAATTCTAGTTGTCAATGGACCTTTATTTT